TCCACCAGTAACCTCGCTTTCATATTCCGCACGAAAAGCAGTATTTAATCCGTATGCTTTTCTTGTTACTTTAAATCTCTTTTTCTCAAGATAATCCGTCAAAAGATTATGTGCAAAGTGTTCTTCGAGTGTAATTTCAGGCTTTGCGTGAATCTAATTTTATGTATTTTTCATAAATCGAATGTAATAAATGAATCCTTATTCGAAAATTATTAGTTATAATCACCTTTAAACTAATTCTCGCAAATCGTCTGAAATCGCTGCAATAAAATTTTCTACAATCTTGGTAAATTCTGTCTTTTGAGCAGCCATTGACGATATATATTCACACAATTGAGGGAAGTGTTACAGTCACAATATATAACCAAGTACGTACATGAACATGACTTAATGTTAACGTTAAATACATGTATAATGTATCCTGCGCGGGATAACCAAAATTTGCAGAGCAATATTCGTATTTTAAGGGGTGCTTTAAATTCGGAATTTAAATTTTGAGTTATCGCTCGTTTTTAAGTTAGATTTAATATTTTGCTGCATATCAAAAGTTCTATGCAATTAATAATTACATGGTGTCATTTAATTGTACTTCAACCTCTTACTGCTGAAATGACATCAGAACGCACTATGTCAGTTAACAGCGCTTCAAAAAAAGAAATTTCCCTTCAGAAACAACAAACCAAAAGCCCAGAAATCATGATTATCTAAAATATAATTAAATTTAATGCAATAGTTTAACTCATAAAAAGTTGTTCCGTTATACATCCTATTATAATCCATATAAATTATCTTTTCATTGTTAATATAACCAGCCTTGCAAAGATATCAGTTCAAGAAAACAAAGCCCAAAAATCGTGAGCTTGCCATCGAATTCAATTGTGGAGAAACCACAATTTCAGATATTTTGAAGCAATCTGAGAAATGGTTAGTTGTTGTATCTGTTTCTGAAAATGCAAATAATATTAGAAATCGTGGATCCGAATGGTTTAATCTTATGTTGCACTTACTATTTGGGCACAAAATGCCTTGGCCAGTTCTCAAGATCTAATAAATGACACTATCAAAATGAAGACCAAACGAATTGCTGAATCCTTATAAATTGAGGATTTTAAGATATCAGATGATTGGCTAAATCGATTTAAAAAGTGACATCATCTTCGTTAATATAGTACCACTAGTAAAAAGGGTTCATGAATGGTTTTTGTTGTAGAAACCTCTAGGTGATTTGCAGGATTCCAGGTTGTTCCGTCATAGGACATTTTATTACCACAAAGAAAATCTAAGCGGAAAGTGGTGGAACGACCAAAACTTTAAATGTTTCCAAAGTGTTTTCTTCTAGTGGTATCAATTTTCGTAATAACACTTGTTTAATACAATTAGTGTTGACTACCTATAGTTACAATCATAGCGTCAAGACATTATTATAAGCAAAATTTCGAGCTGAGCATTTTTCACTAATTACTCAATCTTGGCTTACTTAACAAAACTTCGAGCTATTGGGATTTTTTGCTTTTTAGGTTTTTTTTCGACACAAAAATTTGGATCTGCGATCTTGATATGGTTGACTAATCGACATTGTTTTGAAATACTGATTGGTCGCCAGAATTCTCTATAAAACCATTAAAGTTTTGGTCGTGCCACCTAGAGGTTTCCACCAATATGGAACCTCTAACGGAATTTCAGATTTTCCCTAGAGTTTTCTAATAGTATTCTAGCAATTCAATTGAATTTTGGTGAATATAATATGAACCTTAATGAAATCATTAGAAAACCCATGGTTCTTGTAGATTCTTTTTTACCTGTGTATTGTTACACATTTTTCACTGATAGGGTAATTAGCTAATAAATGTGAACAAGAGTTGGGAGAGATAATTAAACAATTATAAGAAAATATAAAAATAATATCTAAGTCCTATGCCAATTTCTACTGAAATTGTTATAGTTCAAGAAGGGAAAAGGATAAGGTAATAGTATTTCAATTAGGTATAGTGTTCTGAATAACTGTACTAACTAATTAATTTACAAATTATTTAATTGAAGTAACTAATAA